TTCTCCTGCCTCAGCCTCCAGAGCAGCTGGGATTACAGGAGCACGACACCACACCAAGCTAATTTTTGTATTTCTAGTAGAGATAGGGTTTTTCCATGTTGGTCAGGCTGGTCTTGAACTCCTGACCTCAGGCGATCCGCCCACCTTGGCCTACCAAAGTGCTGGGATTACAGGCGTGAGCCACTGCACCCAGCCCCTATAAGATATTCTTACTCCCGGCGGGATGTGGTAGCTCACACCTGTAATCCAAGCACTTTGGAGGCCAAGGTGGGCGGATCACCTAAGGTCAGGAGTTCAAGACCAGCCTGACCAACATCGTGAAACCCTGTCTTAATAAATAAATAAATAAAGATATTCTTACTCCCATTTTACAGATGGGGAATCTGAGACTCAGAGAGACCCAAATAATTAAGTGATTTGGTCAAGGTCACAAAGCTCAGAGGGATAATGTTGAATTTGTTCCTCAGTTACCAAGGACCAAGATGTTAATTGGACCATACAGGTACTCCACAAATATTTTATTCACCCCTCCGTTAAAGATGTATTTTTTTCTTTTTTATTTTATTTTTTATTTAATTTTTTTCTTTTTTTTTTTAAGATGGGGTTTTACCATGATGGCCAGGCTTGTCTTGAAATCCTGACCTCAGGTGATCCACCCACCTCAGCCTCCCAAATTGCTAGGATTACAGGCGTGAGCCACCATGCCCGGCCAAGATGTATTTTTTTAAAATTAATTAATTTATTAATTTATTTTAAAGACAGGGTTTCACCATGTTGGTCAGGCTGGTTTTGAACTCCCAACCTCAGGTGATCCACCTGCCTTGGCCTCCAAAGTGCTTGGCGTGAGCCACCACAGCCGGCCCCGTTAAAGATGTATTAAGCTGGGTACAGTGGTGTGTGCATGTAGTTCCAGCTCCTCGAGAGACTCAGAAGGGAGAATCTCTTGAGCTCAAGGGTTCAAGACTGGCTGGGCACAGTGGCTTATGCCTGTAATCCCAGCACTTTGGGAGGCAAAGGTGGGCAGATCACTTGAGGTCAGAAGTTCAAGACCAGTCTGGCCAACATGGTGCAACCCCATCTCTACTAAAAATACAAAAAAATTAGCCAGGTGTGGCGGCATGTGCTGTAATCCCAGCTACTCGGGAGGCTGGGGCAGGGGAAGTGCTTGAACCAGGGGGGTGGAGGTTGCAGTGAGCTGAGATCCTGCCACTGGTGGTAGCCTGGGTGACAGAGCGAGACTCTGTCTCAAAAAAAAAAAAGGTCAAGACAAGCCTGGGCAATATAGCAAGACCTCATCTCTAAAAAAAAAAAAAAAAAAAAAAAAAAGGGCTGTGGCTGTGGCACACGCCTATAATCCCAGCACTTCTGGGAGGCTGAGGTGGGCGGATCACAAGGTCAAGAGATCAAGACCATCCTGGCCAACATGGTGAAACCCCATCTCTACTAAAAATACAAAAATTAGCTGGGCGTGGTGGCATGCGCCTGTGGTCCCAGCTACTCGGGAGGCTGAGGCGGAAGAATTGCTTGAACCCAGGAGGCAGAGGTTGCAGTGAGCCGAGATTGCACCACTGCACTCCAGCCTGGCGACAGAGCAAGACTCCGTCTCAAGAAGGAAAAAAAAAAAAGAAAGGCCAGGTATGGTGCCTCATGCCTATAATCCCAATACTTTGGGAGGCCTAGGCAGGAGGACTGCTTGAGCCCAGAAGTTCGAGACCAGCCTGGGCAACATAGAAAGACTCCATCTCGCCGGGCGCGGTGGCTCACACCTGTAATCCCAACACTTTGGGAGGCCGAGGCAGGTGGATCACGAGGTCAAGAGATCGAGACCATCCTGGTCAACACGGTGAAACCCCGTCTCTACTAAAACTACAAAAAATTAGCTGGGCATGATGGCACGTGCCTGTAATCCCAGCTACTCAGGAGGCTGAGGCAGGAGAATTGCTTGAACCCAGGAGGCGGAGGTTGCGGTGAGCCGAGATCGCGCCATTGCACTCCAGCCTGGGTAACGAGAGCGAAACTCCGTCTCAAAAAAAAAAAAAAGAAAAAAGAAAGACTCCATCTCTACAGAACTTTTTAAATAAAATTAGCCAGGTGTAGTGGCATGCACCTGTGGTCTCAGCGACTCAGGAGGCTGAGGTGGAAGGATCATTTGATGGTGGAAGGCTGGGTGGTTGAGACTGCAGTGAGCTGTGCACTTCAGCAGAGGCGACACAGCCAGATCCTGCCTAAAAAAAAAAAGAAAAGAAAAGAAAAAGAAAGCAAAAAGCAAATTAACAGATATTAATCATCTACAACAGGCCAGGCAGGATTTCAGTGCAGAGAATGAAACAGACCAAAGTCTGTGCCTTCCCACAGCTCACATTCTCCTGGAAGAGACACACGTGAGACACTAAGCAACAAACAAGAGAATTACTCTGGCCGGGCACGGTGGCTCCTACCTGTAATCCCAGCACTGTGGGAGGCCAAGGCAGGCGTGTCACATGAGGTCAGGAGTTTGAGACCAGCCTGGCCAACATGGAACCCCATCTCTACTAAAAATACAGAATTATTTGTATTGGCACATGTTGGCACATGCCTGTAGTCCTACCTACTCTGGAGGCTGAAGCAGGAGAATCTCTTGATCCCTAGAGGCGGAGGTTGCAGTGAGCCAAGATTGTGCCACTGCACTCCAGCCTGGGCAACAAAGACACCATCTCAAAAAAAAAAAAAAAAAGAAATAGAACCTTCCTGGTCTTCTCCTGGGTACTGAGTGTCTGGGACGATGCACAGAGCCTGTCCCAGCTCTCAAGATTTGTCCAGTCGGGGGTCCCTGAGGCCCAGGCAGGCACAGCACCCCCACCCCAGGCGGCCATGATGCAGCGCTGCCCATCTGTGTGCCACCAGGGAAAGGAACACAAGTCTGGAAGAAGAACGGAGCCATCTATGAAGGGGACTGGAAGTTTGGGAAGCGAGATGGCTATGGCACCCTCAGCCTTCCTGATCAACAGACAGGAAAGTACAGGAGAGTCTACTCAGGCTGGTGGAAAGGTGATAAGAAATCGGTAAGCAGGACTGCCAGCCAGGCTGTGTGTGTGTGTGTGTGTGTGTGTGTGTGTGTGTGTGTGTGTGTGTGTAGGCGGAGCTGAGAGAGGCCTGGGAGAAAAGGGAGGGGAGGTCTACCGGGAGGAGGACAAGGTTGTGGTGCGTGTGGGAGAAGGAAGGGGTGGGGGAATTGCAAAGTTCCTCAGAATAAAACCCAGGAAACAGGAAGCAAGAGAAGGCCAGGGAGGAGCCCAAGAAACCCTGTGGTTGCTCGGAGCCAGCCAGGCTTGTGGGGAAGAAGTCGACTCCACCCTCTTCCCCCTGGTTTCCTGGCTTTCTTTTCCCTGGGCATCTCTTTCTGAGAATTCCCCTTCTGTTGGGCCCGAATAAAAGAGGAGGTAGGAAAAGTGGAAGCAAGAGGGCAGAGGATAAGAGAGTTGGATCCCAGGGGGCAGAAGCCAGCCAGAGGCGCCTGCTCAGCCCAGAAACACCCAAGCTGGGCACAGTGTCCCTCTACCTACTTCCACAAGTGTGGATGAATCCTCACCTTCAGCCCCGGGACACTAATAATAAACAGTATTGCAACTGAGCAACTACTATTGTGAGCCTGAAACACACGGGTAATACTTCAGTTAACTCTCACAGCAATGGCTCATCATCATATCATCACGCCCATTTTGCTGATAAGCAAACAGGCTTGGAGAGACGAGGTGTCTTGTAACCACCCAAGGGGTTCACCCTGCCCGCTGCCTAGACAGAGCCGATTCATCAAGACAGGGGAATTGCAATAAAGAAAGAGTAATTGCCGGGCGCGGTGGCTCACGCCTGTAACCCCAGCACTTTGGGAGGCCGAGGCGGGTAGATCACGAGGTCAAGAGATTGAGACCATCCTGGTCAACATGGTGAAACCCTGTCTCTACTAAAAATACAAAAAACATTAGCTGGGCATGGTGGCGCGTGCCTGTAATCCCAGCTACTCAGGAGGCTGAGGCAGGAGAATTGCCTGAACCCAGGAGGCGGAGGTTTCGGTGAACCAAGATCGCGCCATTGCACTCCAGCCTGGGTAGCAAGAGTGAAACTCCGTCTCAAAAAAAAAAAAGAAAGAGTAATTGACACAGAGGTGGCTGTGTGGGAGACCTGAGTTGTATTATTACTCAAATCAGTCTCCCCGAACATTCTGGCAGCAGAGTTTTTAAGGATAACTTGGTGGGTAGGGGGAAGACAGTGATCTGGTAGTGCTGATTGGTCAAAGATGAAATCACAGGGAGTCAAAGCTGTCTTCTTGCCCTGAGTCAGCTCCTGTGTGGGGGCCACAAGATCACCTAAGTCACTTTATTGATCCGGGTGGAGCCAGCTGATCCATCCAGTGTACAGTCTGCAAAATATCTCCAGCACTGATCTTAGGAGCAGTTTGGGGAGGGTCAGAATCTTGTAGCCTCCAGCTGCATGACTCCTAAACCAAAATTTCTAATCTTGTAGCAAATGTTAATCCTACAAAGGCAATCTAGTCCCAGGCAAGAAGGAGGTCTTTGGGAAAAGGCTGTTAATGTCTTTGTTTAAACTTTAAGTTTCTCCCAAAGTTAGTTCAGCTTAAGCTCAAGAATGAACAAGGATAGCTTGGAGGTTAGAACGAAGATGGAGTCGGTTAAGTTAGGTCTCTCTCGCTGTCTCAGTCATAATTTTGCAAAGGCAGTTTCAGTCTTTCCTGGAGTCACACAGCTAGCAAGTAGCCAGGGTTTCATGTTCTCTGCTCCCAAATTTATTGGCTAGTAGGAAGAGAAAGTCCCAAATAACCAGTTTACATAGAATATGGTGTTAGGAGAGTTGTTTTCACAGGGTGCTCACAGGAGAACCATTAAGCCCAGCCTAGGAAATTCAGGGCAGAATGCTAGACACAGTGGCTCACGCCTGTAATCCCAGCTCTTTGGGAGGCTGAGGCGGTTGGATCACTTGAGGTCAGGAGTTTGAGACTGGCCTGGCCAACATGGTGAAACCCCCATCTCTACTAAATAAAGATATGACAATAAAAAAAAAATAGCTGGGCACAGTAGTGCACACCTGTATTCCCAGCTTGGGAGACAGAGGCATGAGAATTGCTTGAACCTGGGAGGCAGAGATTGTAGTGAGCTGAGATCATGCCACTGCACGCCACTCTGGGCAACAGAACAAGACTCCATCTCTAAATAAATAATATTATGTAATAATAATAATTAGCTGGACATGGTGGTGCACATCTGTAGTCCCAACTTCTCAGAAGGCGGAGGCAGGAGGATTGTTTGATCTCAGAAGGCTGAAGCTGCAGTGAGCTATGGTGGTGCCACCACACTCCAGCCTGGACAACAGAGCAAGGCTTGTCTCAAAAAGAGGGAATTCAGGTCGGGCACGGTGATTCACGCCTGTGATCCCAGCACTTTGGGAGGTCAAGGTAGGAAGATCACCTGAGGTCAGGAGTTTAAGACCAGCCTGGCCAACATGGTGAAACCCCGTCTCTACTAAGAATACAAAAATTAGCCAGGTGTGGTGGTGGGCGCTTGTAATCCCAGTTACTCAGGAGGCTGAGGCAGGATAATGCTTAAACCTGGGCAGTGGAGGCTGCAGTGAGCCGAGAGAGCACCACTGCACTCCAACTTGGGTGACAGAGTGAGACTCTGTCTCAAAAAACAAAAGAGGGAATTCAGGGCAGGCTTCCTGTAGGAGGTGACACTAAAACATGTTAGGAATTAGCCAGGAAGAAAAAATGGGGAGGAGGATGGGAGGCAAAAAAATAGCAAAGGAAAGGAGATGTCAAACAGCAGTGTGTGTCTGCCCTGGGGCAGGAGTAAGGAAAAGGGTTGCCAGGGCCTTCGAGGACATGTGGGAAATGAGGATTTTGAGGAGTAGGCTTGGCTCCTCAATCCAGCCTCCTTGGGTATGATCTGCAAAAAGACCTTGTTTCCCTGTGGTTGGACACTAAGTACGGTGTTCTTTTTTTCTTTTCTTTTTTTTGAGACAGTCTCTCCCTCTGTCGCCCAGGCTGAAGTGCAATGGTGCGATCTTGGCTTACTGCAACTTCCATCTCCCCAGTTCAAGGGATTCTCCTGCCTCAGCCTCCTGAGTAGCTGGGATTACAGGCTCACACTACCACGCATGGCTGATTGTTGTATTTTTTGGTAGAGATCGGAGTTTCACCGTGTTGGGCAGGCTGGTCTCAAACTCCGGCCTCAGGTGATGCACCCGCCTCAGTCTCCCAAAGTGCTGGGATTACAGACTTGAGCCACCGAGCCTGGCTATGTATGGTGTTTCTGTTCATTTTTCTGGGTCAAAATAAGAGTGGGATGGGGGCAAGCATAATCCAATGGGCGATTTTTTAATTTTTATTTTTTGAGACAGTGTCTCACTCAGTCACCCAGGCTACAGTGCAGTGGTGGGGTCTCAGCTCACTGAAACCTCCATCTCCCCGGTATAAGCGATTCTCCTGCCTCAGCCTCCCGAGTTGCTGGGATTACAGGCCCTGGCCACCATGCCCAGCTAATTTTTCTATTTTTAGTAGAGACAGGTTTTCACCATGTTGGCCAGGCTGGTCTTGAACTCCTGACCTCAAGTGATCTGCCCACCTCAGCCTCCCAAAGTGAGCCTGTGAGCCACTGCACCCGTCCTAGATGGGCGATTTAAAGAATCCTCAGGTGCTGTAGGGGCTGCATGGTGCACGGTGGGATGGAGATGAGGGAGGAAGGGGTGCTCAGTGAGGAGGCAGATTAATGACCGGCTGCATGGAGGTGGCAGCAGAGGCACAGAGAGAAAGAGACAGCATGGAGAGATCCTTGAAGACACGATAGGCCAGGCTCGGTGGCTCACACCTCTAACCCCAGCACTTTGGGAGGCCAAGGAGGGTGGATCACTTGAAGTCTGGAGTTCCACACCAGCTTAGCCAGCATGGTGAAATCCTGTCTCTACTGAAAATACAAAACTTACCCAGGCGTGGTGGTGCCTGCTTGTAATACCAGCTACTTGGGAGGCTAAGGCAGGAGAATCGCTTGAACCCAGGAGGCAGAGGTTGCAGTGAGCTGAGATCACACCGCTGCACTCCAGCGTGGGCGACTGAGCAAGACGCTCTCTCAAAAAAAAAAGGCATGACCCTCTGCTAAGACGCGACCTCTGCTTGGACATAGGGCTGAGGAAGAAGAAGGAAGAAGCTGGGCTGTGTGGCTCTGGGGTGCCTGGAAAGACGATGGGCTTTCTTGGTGTGGGGGACGGCGCCCTGAGCAGGAACATCTTCGTGCTTTCAGGGTTATGGGATCCAGTTTTTCGGACCCAAGGAGTATTATGAGGGTGAGTGGTGTGGCAGCCAGCGCAGCGGGTGGGGCCGCATGTACTACAGCAACGGTGACATCTACGAGGGACAGTGGGAGAACGACAAGCCACACGGGGAGGGCATGCTGCGCCTAAGTGAGTGCCCCGCCCTCTCAGGGCCCGCCCACCCGACCACGCCCCTGGCAGCGAGCTGGTCACGTCCACCTGGTCCCACAGGGAAACACCACACCAGACAAAGCTCTTGCATCAGTTGGGACAAGAGAGGAAACGGACCCTATCCCTCCCCTCAGAGAGCTTGTACTTTCCTAGGGGAGCCTAACAATAAATAAATAACTAAGAATTTCTTGGGATCCTCATAATCATAGCCAACACTTCTATGCACTGGGCTCATTTAATCCTCACCACAGTCCCATAAGATAGTGATTTTAGGCCGGGCGTGGTGGCTCACGCCTGTAATCCCAGCACGTTGGGAGGCCAAGGCAGGCAGATACCTGATGTTGGGAGTTTGAGACCAGCCTGGCCAACATGGAGAAACCCCATCTCTACTAAAAAAAGTACAAAATTAGATGGCTGTGGTGGCACATGCCTGTAACCCCAGCTACTCAGGGCACTGAGGCAGGAGAATCACTTGAATCTGGGAGGCAGAGGTTGTGGTGAGCCAAGATCGTGTCATTGTACTCCAGCCTGGGTTGTAAGAGCGAAACTTCATCTCAAAATAATAATAATAATCATCATCATCATCATCATGAAATAAAAAAGATAGGTGCTCTTATCATCCCTTCTTTACAAATGGACTGAGACACGGAGCCGATGTCACTCACTCCAGGTCACACCGTCTGGGCTATTGGGTAAATGTGCTAACATTTCTCTTTAGGAAACAGGAAGGCCTGTTGGGAAATGATGACAGAATTTGGGGCAGGGCCTATTTAACTTGACTTATTGTTAGGGAATGCCTCCCTCAAGAAGGTGCGTTGGGTTTTTGTTTTTGTTTTTGAGACCAGGTGTCTCTCTGTCACTTAGGCTGGAGTGCAATGACACGATCTCAGCTCACTGCAACGTCTGACTCCCAGCTTCCAGCAATCTCCTGCCTCAGCCTCCCGAGTAGATGGAATTAGAGGCGTGTACCACCATGCCCATCTAATTTTTGTTTTTTTTTTTTTTTTGTATTTTTTTTAGTAGAGACAAGGTTTCATTCACCATGTTGGTCAGGCTGATCTCAAACTCCTGACCTCAAGTGATCCACCTGCCTCGGACTGCCAAAGTGCTGGGATTACAGGCGTGAGCCACCGTGCCTGGCCCAGAGGGTGCATTTGAATATTTGAAAGGAGACCCAAAGGAGGAGAAGTAGCTGGATTTTTTTTTTTTTTTTTGAGACCGGTCTCACTCTGTCACCCTGGCTGAAGTGCAGTGGGGCAATCTCAGCTCCCTGCAGCCTCAATTTCCTGAGCTCAAGCCATCCTCCCACCTCAGCCTCCTGAGTAGCTGGGACTATAGGTGCACACTACCATGCCCAGCTAATTTTTTAAAAATTGTTTTTGCAGAGATGGGGTCTCACTACGTTACTCAGGCTGGTATTGATCTGCTGGGTTTATAAGCCTCCCATCTTGGCCTCCCCATGTGTTGGGGTTGCATTGAGTTCTGTAAGAGCGACCCCCTGGGGGTCTAGCCTAGTTTGGCGTACCCCGAACCACACCTCCCTGTCCTTTCCCCAGAGAATGGGAACCGCTACGAGGGCTGCTGGGAGAGGGGCATGAAGAACGGACCCGGGCGTTTCTTCCATCTGGACCACGGACAGCTGTTTGAAGGCTTCTGGGTGGACAATATGCCCAAGTGCGGGACGATGATCGACTTTGGCCGTGACGAGGCCCCTGAGCCCACTCAGTTCCCCATTCCTGAGGTGGGCAGCCCTCCCCAGGGCTCTGTGGCCACACCCAGACAGAGAGAGGCCAGCACCCTAAGCCATGCCAGCCCAGACCTGCCAGGCCCAGCCCAGCCCAGACAGGGAACAGACAAGGTTTTGTTTTCAGTCAGGGCATCCCTGGCAAGGGAAGTGGCTCCTGATGATGCTGGCAGCATCCCACGGGGCAGGCAGCACCAGTCAAGGCTGGCAGCCTGGGTCCTCCATGTTCTCCAAACCAACCCCTCACTCTTTCCCTCCAGGTCAAAATCCTAGACCCTGATGGTGTGCTGGCAGAAGCCTTGGCCATGTTCAGGAAGACAGAGGAAGAAGGAGATTGATGCCAGGTGAGGGGTGGGCACACCTGCCATGCTCTTCCGTGGCTGAGGCTGCTCCAGGGCCTGGATAAATACACACATCTCCTGGGGTCTCCAAAGGGCTCAGGGTGGGGGCATGGGGGAGCAAGACCAGAGAGGGCAGTCTTCTTGCCTTCTATGTTCCAGGTGTGGTTTTTGGCTCTTCCTCTTCAAAACCCCTTTCGGCCAGGTGTGGTGGCTCACATCTGTAATCCCAACACCTTGGGAGGCCAAGGCAGGTGGATCACTTGAGGTCAGGAATTCGAGACCATCCTGGCCAACATGGTGAAACCCTGTCTCTACTGGTGGCAGGCGCCTGTAATCCCAGCTGCATGGGAGGCTGAGGCAGGAGAATTGCTTGAACCCGGGAGGCAGAGATTGCAGTGAGCCGAGATCGTGCCATTGCATGCTAGCCTGGGCGAGAGAGTGAGAGTCCATCTCAAAAAAAAAACAAAACCCAAAACTGATTTCACTGAAGACCAGTGCATACCAGTCCCGCCCAGAACCTTCTGTTTGTACCCTGGGCCGCATCACTGGGCTGGGCACGGGTTGGAAGGAGGTGGTTCTGAATGCCCTTGAGTAAGGCGGTTGGCCTCGGGCTTCCATTTCACATCTGTCCAGTGGGGCCTTGTCAAGTCCGAGCCCCTCCTGAGCAGGATGTGAGGGTTTGAGGAGATGCATTGGTACAGTGACTTTCAAATGGCAGCTCCACCATCCCCCTCTCTCCCCTGCAGAGAACACCAGCGCTTCAGGAGAAATTCAAATCCGTGTCACCCAGTCGCTCAGATCAGTGCAGCTCTGGCTGGTGGAATCAGCAGTGGCTCTGCAGGAACCTGGCACCCTCAGAGGACCCCTCACTCCCCCCAGCACTGGGTGGTTTCTTGCCAGTAGGAAGGCCAGTGCTTCTCTCCCAGGCTGGCCTTGGGACCCTCTCGCGGCCTTTATTTTCTGATCTCATCCTGCAGTGCGTAAGAATAAAGAACCAGGTGGTGTAAGCCTGGGCCTGTGGTGTGAGGATGGAGCATGCGAGGGGGCATGGGATGGGTTTCAGGTGGGAAAAGACCTCCCCTGGCTGGGCTGCCAGGGCTTAGCTTGTGGAGGAGCAAGGGCAGGTCTTAGTGGGCAGAATGAGCTGGGTGCAGTGGCTCATTCCTGCAATCCCAGCACTTTGGGAGGCCAAGGCAGGAGGGTCACTTGAGGCGGGGAATTCAAGACCAGCCTAGGCAACATAGCAGGATCCTGACTCTACAAAAAAAAAAAAAAATTTTTTTTAAAGATGGAATCTTGCTCTGTCATCAGGCTGGAGTGTTGTGGTGTGATCTTGGCTCATAGCAACATCTGCCTCCCGGGTTCAAACGATTCTCCTGCCTCAGTCTCCCGAATAGCTAAGACTACAGGTGAACGCCACCACATCCAGCTAATTTTTGTGTTTTTAGTAGAGACAGGGTTTCACCATGTTGGCCAGGATGGTCTTGATCTCTTGATCTTATGATCTGCCTGCCTCAGCCTCCCAAATGGTGGTATTACAGGCATGAGCCACTGCACCTGGCAGACAAAAAATTTTAAAAAATGTAAAAAAAAGGAAAAGAAAGGGCCGGGTGTGGTGGCTCATGCTTGTAATCCCAGCCCTGTGGGAAGTTGAGGCGGGCAGATCACACGGTCAAGAGATCGAGACCATCCTGTCCAACTGGTGAAACCCCATCTCTACTAAAAATACAAAAATTAGCTGGGCGTGGTGGCACGTGCCTGTAGTCCCAGCTACTTGGGAGGCTGAGGCAGGAGAATCGCTTGAACCGGGTAGGCGGAGGTTGCTGTGAGCTGACATCTTGTCACTGCACTCCAGCCTGGCGATAGAGCGATGAGACTCCATCTAAAGAAGGAAAAAAAGAAAAGAAAAAGCAAAAGAAATGGCAGGTGCCCTGTGAGATAACCCAAAGAGAACACCTGCATCCTGCCACCAAGATTTGAGATTAAAATTTCCTGACCACTTCTCAACCTAACACAGGACTCTCAACCTTAAAATCCCATGGAAACTTTAAAAAGCTGTGGAAGCCCAGGTCCCATGCCCAGAGATTCACATCTAATTCTTCTGGGGTGAAGCCTGAGCTTTCAGAAAGTTCCCTAGCAGATTTTTTTTTTTTTTTTTTTTTGAGACTAAGTCTGGCTCTGTCGCCCAGGCTGGAGTGCAGTGGCGTGATCTCAGCTCACTGCAACCTCCACCTCCTGGGTTCAAGTGATTCTCCTGCCTCAGCCTCCTGAGTAGCTGGGATTACAGGTGTGCACCACCACACCCGGCTAATTTTTGTATCTTTAGTAGAGATAGGGTTTTACCAGGTTGGTCAGGCTGGTCTCCAACTCCTGACCTTATGATCTGCCTGCCTCAGCCTTCCAAAAAGTGCTGGGATTACAGACGTGAGCCACCAAGCCCGGCCTTATTTATTTATTTATAGACGGAGTCTTGCTGTGTCGCCCAGGCTGGAGTGCAGTGCCGTGATCTCGGCTCACTGCAACCTCCACCTCCTGGGTTCAAATGATTCTCCTGCCTCAGCCTCCCAAGTAGCTGGGACTACAGGCACCTGCCATCATGCCTGGCTAATTTTTTGTATTTTTAGTAGAGATAGGGTTTCACTGAGTTAGCCAGGATGGTCTCGATCTCCTGACCTCATGATCCGCCCGTCTTGGGCTCCCACAGTGCTGGGATTACAGGCATGAGCCACCACGTCTGGCTATTATTTATTTTTTTGAGACAGAGTCTCATTGTCACCCAGGCTAGAGTGCAGTGGCATGATCTTGGTTCACTGCAACCTCCATCTCCTGGGTTCAAGCAATTCTCCTGCCTCAGCCTCCTGAGCAGCTGGGTTTACAGGCACCTACCACCATGCCCGGCTAATTTTTTGTATTTTTAGTAAAGATGGGGTTTCATCGTGTTGGACGGGCTGGTCTCAAACTCCTGACCTCAGGTGATCCACCTACTTACTCCTCCCAAAGTGCTGGGGTTATAGGCATGAGCCACCAGCCCCGGCCCCCAGGTGATTTTAACGTGGAGCTGGCTCTGGGAACTCTTGATTTACTGGCTGTGTGGCCTTGAGCAAGTGACCTCCATTGCCCCATCTATAGAATGGGACTCAGGAGAGCTCACAGGAGTCTTCTGAGGCTTTGATAACAGATGTCATCATGAATATAATGTATTGGGGTTAATTGTGGATCAGATACCAGGGAAGAGCAGGGCAACATTCCTGAGAGATCAGATGTTCTCTTGCATAATGGGCAGGTGAGCTCTGGATTCATACTGCCTGGGTGTGAATCTCGGAGCTGTGTGTTCTTGGGAACATCACCCCAACTCTGTTCTCCAGGTCTCCTCACTAGCAATATGGGGCATTAACAGTACTTGCCACCTGGGGTTACTGTGGTTAGTTACTGTGAGGGTGAGATAAGGTAGTGGTTTTAAACAGAGGGTATGATTTTGTCCTCCCTGATCCCACTCTTCCTTGGGGACATTTGGCAATGTCTGACATTTTTGTCATCACAACTGGCAGGAAGAAGGCTATTTATTGGCTTTGAGTGAGTAAAGGCCAGGGCTGCTTTTAAATGTGGTGCAATGTCACCATGCTACCAAAAAAAAAAAAAAAAAAAAAAAAAAAAAAGCCATTCAGCACTTGTAATGCCAGCTGCTCAGGAAGCTGAGGCAGGAGAATCACTTGAACCAGCCTCAAAGGTTACAGTGAGCCGAGATCATGCCACTGCACTCCAACCTGGGCAACAGAGCAAGACACCATCTCAAAAAAAAAGTTGAAGTTGAGAAAACCTGAAATACCATGATTCCAGCTAAGACCTCAGCAAGAAGCACACAGCACATAGTAAAGCCTCAATAAACACCACTGACTTTACTGAGGTTCTCTCTGACCCCTGTGTCATAAGTGGGGTGGCTTCACTCAGGGTGTGGTTCTTAGTCTGTACTTCTGGCACTGGAAAGCCCCATCTGGACACCTTAGGATGCTGAATCAATTGTAACTTCCAGATATGGAGCGCTCACTCTATTCCAGGCCCTGTGCTCACAGCTTTGCAGCAAGCTTTCTTTCCTGGGACTCCCAGACAATAGTGAGATGTCTTGCTATTATTAGTGCGATTTTAGAGAAGGAAACTGAGGTTCAGGGAGGATCACAAGTCATCAAGCTAGTACTGTGCTTAAACTTAGATCTAGCTGCTCTTTTTTTAAAAAAATTAATTCTTTTTTATTGTCAGGCTGCTGGTTAGCTCAGTTGGTGAGCTAACCAACCGCCCGACAGATCTAGCTGCTCTTAAGGCGCAGAAGAGTGTATATAAAGGGTTACCGTTTTTTAAGAAATAGTGGGAAGAGGGTGTACTGTTTATGTATAAAATGTCACTAGATTTGAACATAGTAAACTGGCAAAGATGGTTGTCTCTGGGGAGAGTTGGGGACTTGGGAACAGGAGCTGAAGAACAACTTCTCTCTGTTGTGTTTGGAACCAAATGAATGTATTATGTATTCAAAATGTAAGTCGAACTGCAGTTAAAGACTGTGCTCCTAGCCTGAGTCGCCTGGGTGTGAGAGTACCTGGGGTGCTTGTCAGAAACAGATTCCAAAGTCACACCCAGACCCACTTGAATCAGAATCCGCCACGGGCTTCGAAACCTGCGTTTGACAAGCCAGGCTGATGCGTCTTGAATCAAGGCTAGTTAAGGAAAGAGAACGCAAGACAACAGGATCCTAAGCCAGAAATGATTCCAGCTGGATCCCGAGTCTTTGCAGAAGTAGGAATACATAAAAAATGTCCAGGATGGCCGGGCGCGGTGGCTCACGCCTGTAATCCTAGCACTTTGGGAGGCCAAGGTGGGCGGATCACCTGAGATCAGGAGTGGGAAACCAGCCTGGCCAACATGGTAAAAGCCCATCGCGACTAAAAGTACAAAAATTAGCCGGGCATGGTGGCTCATGCCTGTAGTCTCAGCTACTCGGGAGTCTGAGGCAGGAGAATCACTTGAACCAGGGAGGTGGAGGTTGCAGTGAGCCAAAATCACACCACTGCACTCCAGCCTGGGTGACAGAGCGAGACTTGGTCTCAAAAAAAAAGACGTTCAGGACTTCTCTGGGGAGCAGTGGGGGTTCACACAGGGGTCCCTGCCCAGTCTTACTCGGTACCCTTCAGAAGTATGGATTAGGCCTGGCACAGTGGCTTATGCCTATAGTCCCAGCACTTTGGTAGGCCGAAGCAGGTGGATCCCATGAGGCCAGGAGTTCAAGACTAGCCTGGCCAACATGGTAAAACCTGGCCAACATGGTAAAACCTCCATCTCTATCAAAAAATACAAAAATTAGGCAGAGGCAGGAGAATCGCTTGAACCTGGGAGGCGGAGTTTGCAGTGAGCCGAGATGGCACCATTGCACTCCAGCCTGGGTGACAAGAGTGAAACTCCTCAAAAAAAATGTGTTTAAATTTTTCTTTTTTGAGGCAGGGTCTCTCTCGCCTAGGCTGGAGTCCAGTAGTACAATCAAGGCTCAGTGTAGCCTCTACCCCCCAGGCTCAAGTGATCCTCCCGCCTCTGCTTCCTGAGGAGCTGGGATTACAGGTGTATGCCACCACTTCCAGCTAATTTTTGTATTTTTTATAGAGACAGGGTTTCACCATGTTGCCCAAACTGGCCTTGAACTCCTGGATTCAAGTCATCCACCTGCCTCAGCTTCCTAAAGTGCTGGGATTACAGGCATGAGCATAACCACTTAATATATTAGGTCTCTGAGACAGACAGAAATCTCAAACTCAAAGGCCTAATGAGGCCAAGAAAT